ATTGTCATACTGGACCGATAGGCGGTTCACTGACATTCCATTCCACACAAAACAATATGCATGGAGCATTCACAACCATTTGTCATGAACAATGAACATGAACACGTTACACGCTTGGTAAGAGGCGGCTGTCTTTTTTTTCTGGGAAATTAAAGGGGCAACACGACGTTATGAGACTATGATAGAAATGAATGTGATAGTATGTACCTATATCAATAAGTTATTAGTGAGGAAAGAACATAACATGTTAGATGGTCTTTGAAGCATTAACTAATGCCTATGTGCCATGTAGCCCCCTTAAAACCGTTTTGGCAGATCCATCAGTCAATAATTAATAACTCGGCAGTGAGAGGCAAATGAACTTCATACATCACAAAAAGTGTGATGCTGATGAACGGCAAAATCACCAGCGGGGTGCTGGCAATATCCCATCTCTCCCTTCTCTCCCACTTTCCAGCTCATCATTAATCTCGCCGCTGACTTCTTTCGGCCGGCAAAACCCCGCCGAAAAACCGCCCGAAAAGCCGGCCCTGCCGCCTGCAATAATGTCTGGCGGCGTGGCCGTCTGGCCCGCCGCCAGAGACCTCAGACAGACGGTGGAGTTCCCTGAAAACGTCCCGCGCGATTATCCCTATGACCGGCTGGGTCCTTCAGAGTTCGAGCAGCCGGTGTGCTGAACTGCAGAGATGGCAGGCAGCAGCCCATCCCTCCTCTCCGAGATAGAGCTCTATCCGCTATCGGGCGGTGCTCTCCGTTTGGGCCAGCTGCGCACATGTAGTGCAGACCCTGTGGGGTATGCGGTGCAAACATTGAGTGGTGCAATGTTTGCAGTTGCACCCTGCAACGTAGTTGATGGGAGGGGTGATAAAATGTGTGGAGTCGTCTTTAAATCAAATATCGCACCCATATGCTATACCTAACTTCGACATGGACAAAACGTGGGGATTGCATGCCGTATAGAATACGCCTACCCAAAAACTCAGAAGGGCCTGCTTCACACTAGTGGTGTCAATCGGAACTTGAATCTTCGGAATTCCGATTTTGTCCAATGTCCAATTCGGAATTCGGTTGGATAATGGCCGCAGGCTTTGGACAACTTTGGACAATCGCTTGCTACACCTCAACATTTTTAAAAAGTAGTCGTGTTTAACATTGGTTGGCTATTAGAAAGCTCAGCTTTCGATATGATTAACACTTTTGAGCTTGCAGCGGTACATGAAAAGCTAATGAAATAACAGTGTTGAGTGTAAATTATTGCGTAGGTGTCGGACATCTTAAGACAAATGGCTGGCTTGGACATTTTTGGACGGACAATCGACGTAAGCATTGGACATTGGACGGACTTTGGACATACGTTTTCTGAAATTGACACCACTACTTCACACCACCGGCTGTTCGTTTTAGCCAAAGCTGAACACCGGCACTCCGTTTTATGTAGGGGAGAACGGGGCTATTTGACCGTCCGCGTCACTGGCCGCTCCATGTCTACGCGTTTTGACAGTCCCAAGCGATTATTTTTTAATATGGCGCCATCCGACCGCCGTCATCATATATGATGTAGTAAGTAGTTGTTATAACAACTACTTTGGACAGAACAGAAACTATGTAAAGCTAAAGATATTTGAATTTTGGCTAAAAAACGTAGCTTTTACTTCTTCACGAAATGCTGCATGGTATGCCTCATTTGGGTGACATCAAAATTTCAACTCTATGGTAGAAAAATCTCAGGTAATTCAGGGAACTGTCTCACCGTTTTGCGAATTTAAGTAAAAATTTTTGCTTCTTTGCGGACCCCTTTCCTAAAAATGTGGTAAGAAAGGCGTGTGATCCTTGCGGGATGCACTGATGACGGTCGTTGGGAGTCGATTTGGCTCGTCTGACCGCCCAGTAACAGCAGAGCTGCAGCTGCCGGCCGGGCGACAACGCAAACAGAACACCGCCCCCGCCCGCCCACGGGCTGCCCCGGATGGGATGGGACCGCCACGTGGCAACAGCGACCCAGCTCGCAGGCCGACTCTCTCTCTCTCTCAGCTCTCTCTCTCTCTCTCTCTCTCTCTCTCTCTCTCTCTCTCTCTCTCTCTCTCTCTCTCTCTCCTCTCTCTCTCTCTCTCTCTCTCTCTCTCTCTCTCTCTCTCTCTCTCTCTCTCTCTCTCTCTCTCTCTCTCTCTCTCTCTCTCTCTCCTCTCTCTCTCTCTCTCTCCATCCAATCCCCCGCGTCCAAACAGTTTCTGCGGGGCCGACAGCCGGCGGCGGCGACGTTTCGTCGAAACCAGGCCGGCCGGTCGACAGGGATCGCTCCCGTCGGCAGTGACGGCCGGCCGCGCCGCCACACGCCGCAGACACGCCGCCACCGCCGCAGAGACGCCGACGAGCGCCGCGCGCGTATTGACGTTTCGACGCAACAAAGAAGCCCCACGCTGCACCCTTATCCAGCGCAGGGCTCAAACGGCGGGTAGTTCGAACAAATTGCTCAATCACCCGATATTGTCAACATAAATTGGAATAAGTCAAATAGAACTAAGTGCCGTCACATTAGCGTCGTCTGCGGGTCGGACGGCACGACGGCGGCCAGAAACACAAACAGCCGGTGGCACGGTGGCGAACAAAGACACGATAAAGCACCCGGAAACAGATAGCAGAGTACGCCGCGGCACAGACGGCCATCGGCCGCGCGACAAATAAGCTCGCCGACGGGGCAGACAGGCGGCAGCCGCGTGTCACCGGGATGCCCTATAAGCCCCTCTGTCAGCCGCGCCAGATATTGAGCTCGGATCGGAACCGGCGGAGAGGAGACTCCTATCGTCGTCCTCGGAGCCGTTTAAACGGTTATCGACGCTAAAATGGCTGTTATTGAGACGACAGTTTTTCTCGTCTGGGTGTAAGGCTGCATCGCAACATAACGTCTTTAAAAGACTCCTTAGGTTATACCTATGCCTATCCACATTTACCTATGCTTATGTTAGCCTTTTGTTACACATCTGACGGCTAATAAGCCACTCCTTAAGCACCGAAACAGTCTTCCATAATGCCTACCTTGATACAAGTGTCGACAAAATTTTCTTCGCGTTCAGATTAACTTACGAATCATGCGTAGATAATCAAATGCGCCTCAGCTTTTCTTAGCTCAGGATGAATATCAAACGACGTTTCGTGAACGGCTTAATCCATCCGGTAATGGAGTTATAGTTCTCTGAACGACGCAGTCCACCCCGTAATCCACCACTCCGAGCCGAGATCAGTGCTAATCTCGCTTCACCCGACTGACCTAACTCTCAAAATGCGTCTGTCTGGTGGCTGGCCGCGCACAGGGAGCTCTGGCTGACAACGGGACTGCCTCGCAGTATAACTAAGCTACAGAGCCAGCAGTTAGGTTTATTAGACCCACGCTTCCAGGAGTTCATATCCAAACACAAACTCTGTCCGACCGGAATAGTTGGAAGGCCAAGACCCGTAGGATATGTTCTTATGAATTTGATTGGTATCCTGACTGAAGGTCCGGGTTCTGGGCGAACAGACACGGATATGAATCGGGCATCACTTGGATATGCTAAGTAAGGCAGACTACCTGACCTTCTTTCTCATGTCCCATGGGACCTAGGAAGTGCTGTAAAACTTGAGCACATATGTTTGCAATGTACTTTCCCGGTCGGACATAGATGCCCAAAATACCTTTTCATTAGAACGGCCAGGATGTTAGATTAGGGTGGATTTCATTATTAGGTAGAACAGCTAGATGTTAACGCACTTATAGTTTTTTTTTTTGCCACACGCCTGTGCCTATACCGGTCTGCACTTTGCTGACATACCTACATTCAATGTCATCAAAGAACTATGACAAGCTGCAGCAGCCATCCCCACAACAATCGTAAACGAGTCGAGTCGATTCGCGCTCCTGCCCGGGCCCCATTTCCCAGTAACCGCACCATTCTCCTGCTGTCTGTTATGACAATCATCTGCCACATAATCTGACAATATCTCCCCAGAGGTGCAAAAATGACGCATACCAAGGTCAGCGACGAGCAGATATTCCTGACTCGCCCGGCGGTGTCAACAACCCGGCAGGTCCGTCCGGCGCGTCACACCAGTGGCTGTTTTCTCGGTACCACTGCGCCGTGCAGGGCTGAGATAGTGTGAGGGCACGTGAACCACGCCGCAGTGAAAGTTTTGTGTCAGTGGGCCTCTCATTCGTGATCCGGTGGGCCCCAGAACAATTATTTACATGAAATCTCTTAAAAGACAAAAGTCGCATGCAACGCACGAAACACACTAAATACGTAAATCTAAATCTAAGTGCGCAATTTTCCGAAATCAACATGTCGCGTTCGTACAACGACAATTTTCGTGAACATACGATCCTTTCCGCTTTCCAAAATAAGCTTGGTCATGGTCAAGATTCTTGCAAAGCTATAGTTGTGGTGATCAGCCGTACGTATGCTTCAAGATCAAGTGTAGGCGGTTCATTGGGCGGTTCGGCCGGAGTTGCGCGAAAAAGCGACTTTGAAGGATCATTGCTGATCACGTGAGCGTTAGTAAAAGGGCTGATCAATTCGCTGCTGTCACTGCGGCATGATATGTGAATGATCCGATCTGCCGGATCTGCTCCCAACTGCAAACGTACCTGACGTCGCAGTAACCACTGCAGAAGCGAAGGTCACTCGAAACTGACCATATTTCATTTTCCTGGAATACATGATAAGGGCCTCGCTTGGAATCTGCTGCTAGCTGGCTCCATAATATCCATAATTGGTCATAAATTTTCAGGTGAAATGTGAGTGAAAGTGACGTTAAAGGATCTCTATCCAAAACACACAGGCACAAGGACACGTTCGCAAATAAATCGGCAGATACTAATTGTAGCTTGGGGCCTCTACATTGAACGACTGACACATGTTCAAAATTTCAGAAGTTGAGAGAACATAGTTCGATTTAATTTTTTGCCCGACTAGTCACGCCAAATACCGCACACTGCTTATGTTTTGCCTAAATAATCAAACAGTATCGAGCATTTTGGCTTATGCATTTTATTGTGTAACAAACAATCGCGTATCTCACACTATATCCAGAAAATAACTTCATTTCGCACAAAAGCATCTTAGATAAACACATCTGTAGCCATGCTGGTGCAAGCGAGAACGCGACTTTAGCGATACATCCACGGTCTGTCGCCTAGCCGCCACCCGGCGAACACAGCACACCGGATGGAGTCAGCCACCAATATCACCCAGAGCTTCACACGTCGTTTGTTCACACAGACTGCTCCCTTACAGCCCCCTACCTCGCAGCTTAAATAATAAACGTGAAATAGTTCACGGCATAGCGCTATGCATATAATCATTGCTATTAAACTTAGCAATGACTGCCGATCCATGGTGTCGAACGATTAACTAAAAAGGCTGGAGAAGAGACAAGCCCCATTTACATAGCTCACACATCAAGTCATCCACTCACCGAAGGCGCACACTATTGCGAGTCTATATATATTCCGGGGTGGGATCGCTGCCTTACAGGCTGCCATTCAGGAGCATCCGTCACAAGTTGTCACAACTCAGGGAGTACCACGTCATCCCTTGACTCGAGGGCGCCCAGTCATAGTCTGAAGCCGGGAGTGTCCCGTCACAGGCCGTGTGAGTGCCTCGTGACCAGCCGTAGGAGTCACGACGTGTAGCGTCGTTACTTCCCTGACCTGTATCGCCAGCGTGGACTGTGCGTCCTATCTGTTCCCTCGCACCCCCTCTCAGTCCCGATCCTGGCCGTGTTGCCAGGTCTGTCCATTGCTGTGGCCGGCTACAACTGCACCAGCTCTGCAACATAGCGGCATCAGCATCAGCAAAACATCAGCCAGCTGACCACTGGCGGGCCAACAGAGAGTTCACGATGCATCGTTACATAAACAATCAGAGATAACCTTGGAGCTGCATCAGCGCAGTGCACTGAAAACGAATACCATCGACCAAAACAGCTCTGGGCTGGCACCATTCCTGGAACTAGTCAATGTTATCGAGTTTTCCTAGATTCCAAGCAATAACATTCATTTATCTTCCTTTCATTATATATGCACTTCCTTAGTTTGGATGCCAGTCCAGTGTCAGAGAGTTCGACTTTGTCCAACATTGGCAGTCAGATTCAGATCTGTCCCAAAGGTATACTGACGGGCGACAGCCACTGCGGTCTTTGTCCCTTCTCTGTCCCACACTATTAGCCCGTCCCACATCTGTCCCACACCACCAGCCGGTCCGACATCTGTCCCACACTATTAGCCCGTCCCCCAGCAGTCCCAGTGTCCCCGGCCGCTCGGTCGACCGATGCGGCTCGTTTGCATGCATTGGCCGCCGCGCCGCGATGGCTCGGTTTGGTCTCCGGTGTCGGTCGCTATGCCTCCCGCGCCGGCAGTCTGCTGGGCCGACCACCAATAGGACCACCCGTAAAAACCAGCCCGACAGACCCGGAGACGAAAAAACAACCCAAAAAATGGACCGGAAGTCACACCGGAAGAGTGACCGGAAGTGATGGCTGCCGTGTCGCAGCGGTGGCAGCAGTGGCGCGAAAGGGGACTGGATGAAGTCGAATATGGCCTTATATGTATACAGTGAACTGTATTCGAGAATCTGTCGTTGTTCATTTAAATGAGCTTTTATGAATCCGTTGGAATGTCATATTCGTAGGGCATGTGTGCTTACTGCTTATATAAGCATAAATCAATCGAAAAAGGTCTGATGCGCAAAATGTAACGAAACATGGCATTGCGTGAAGTTTAAATGCAACCGACCGATGATAAAGAAGATAAATTCGTGACTGACAGGTAATGCTATCGAACAAATGTCACGAAATGTATATGTCTCTTGAATGTATGCATGTAATGTTAAGTAATGAGCGACGTAATATATATCGTTGAAAATGTCTTTCGCCTTTATCATTATATTTAGGCAACACTTTGCAGAAAGTAAAAAACAAAACTAGAGTTTTTATTTGAAGCATAGGCGAATCCAGAAAGGCGGCCTCTGAGGTTGCTGGGGCATAGGTATCCCCGAGAATTTTTTTTTTTCCAAAAAAAAAAACTGTTCAGATTTAGATTACTCATGTACTGCAGTGCTGTTTAAAATACATTTTCCTGATAAAAAGCTATTTAGTTTTAACACGGAACAAAAATGATAGACGAACGCGCGCGTTTCGGATAAATCACCGTCATCAGCGTCTAAAAGGAGAGCAAGAGGCACACATCGAGCAAATATCACAGTTCAATCGTTTTGGATGTGTGCCTCTTGCTCTCCCTTTAGACGCTGATGACGGTGATTTAGCCGAAACGCGTTCGTCTATCATTTTTGTTCCGTGTTATTATACTTGTCTCAACTAGAGGTGGAAATGAATATTAGTCATTAGTCAAAAATTAGTCGACTAACGTTAGTCAAGCGCTTTTTTAGTCAGTCAAAAGTCAGTCAACCAAAATGTTTGTTAGTCATTAGTCAGTCATTAGTCAATGATTTTGGTGCATATTAGTCGACTAATTTGTCGTGTTTCGTGAGGTGACCTAACCCTCGCATGTGTAGGGGGGGGGGGGTCGGATGGACCCCCATGGTTTTTCGCGAATAACTCGCGCAAAAAGCGGCCGATCGCGACAAAACTTTCAGTACCCTCGAGTTGATCAATTTTACACCTACTCTTAAAATTTCATGACCCCGACCCAAATGACCTTTGACCTGTGAACAGATTCTCGAGACCATGTTCGGCCGGAATCGCGATTTGGCGTATGTCAGCTCACATTATCCGCGCGTTTCCAGTCTTTTTGTGATTATAAACGTCCAAACATCTGAAATGATGTTCGTCCCACGCATTACGGTGGGTGTCAAGGTCACCTGAAGGTCAGGTCAGGTCATTGACCTTGGATGACCTCGGTTCACTTTTTCGAATTTTACATGTTTCTAGGGTAGTTTTTCGGGCTGATTTCGAATTTGGCATCCATTTCAACATTTACGAAGTAGTTTTAGTGGCTTTGTAACATGTTACGACGCCGTCAGTGGTAGTTGACACCTACTATGGATAGCCGGCAGGACGCCTACTGGTCGACCTGACCTGACCTGACCCGACCTGGCCTAAATGCATGCAGACATCATCTGTGATCAAAACTAAGATGAAGTTCGTGATCAGCACCCCGAAAAACCCCATAACAGCTTCACTTTACGACGAAACTCTAGCAGGTCCCGATTTTCCCGACGTTTGGGTCATTGACCTGACCTGGAAGGTCAACCAATGATCTAGGACCTTAAAATTGGGTATCATCGGCTTCCTCTCGTCACGGGCAGCACGCTCGTTTTTTTTCCCGCGAAGCTCTAGCTTGATCAGGGTCCGAACAGCAGGGGGGTTCAGTCGACCCCCCCCCCCTACACATTAGACGCTGGCAAACGCCGCACACATGCGAGTGTTAACCCGCGCCCCACTGGGGTCGGCGGCCGAACGCGCTCGGCTGGAGGGGGTAAATTTTACCCCCTCCCCTGTTATCTCCCGAACCAGGCGTCGTAGTGGCCGACAAGATATCTTGCGCTCGCTTCGCATCGCGGTGGCCATGAAATAATAAGGGATAAAATTTGGGATCGATTGGTGTTCTTCCAGTGTCGATCAGACGTCTAGAAGTTTAGATATTCGCGAAAAAACTTGCTTTGCTTGTAAATTCCGAAATTTAGTCAAATATTAGTCAAAATCGAGAAAAATGGCGTTAGTCATTCATTAGTCAGTCAAGCTTTTTGAGACGACAGATTAGTCAGTCAAAAGTCAGTCAACCAAAATCGTCATTAGTCATTAGTCAGTCATTAGTCAAGATTTTGGAAAACGTTAGTCATTTCCAACTTTAGTCTCAACTGAAATACTATTTAGTTTTCTTTCTTTATTAGAAACACGACAAATTTTCATCGATTTCGGGTGCTGCAAGGAGGTATTTACCTCAAATTCCTCCCGCTACCCCCCCCCCCTTGGATCCGCCAGTGATTTGAAGTGCGCGTTTCTTTGGTATGCGAGTGACGTTTCCAAGAAAACCAAACACCACTGGCATGTCAGCTATCATGTCTTTGTCGCAGGCGGTGCCTGGCGACCGAGGTATCCATAACACTGCTGCTGTGACAGCCGAGAGAAATGCGCTGTTGACTCGGCGCTATCAGCGACCGTTTCGCAACTTGTCGCAGCTGGCAGCCGTCAGATGCTACAGTTTATGACAGCGCGCCGGCACTGACTGGTCCGTGTTGACCTGAGCCGGCCCGGCGGCTATCCTCCCCCATCTCAGACCGGTGGGGAGACGGCCGCCCGTTCAGACCACTGATCCAAGTCGACACCTCATCCGGCTCGCTCTAATTGGATGCACACACCTCCGTCCGGCGGCCGGCTGTTTTCGTGCAAAGTTAGTGATGCCGCGGGGCTTGATAACATCCTCCATCCGGAGGCGGCCCGTACTGGTCGAACAGGGGAGCCAGCGCCTCATCAAACACGCCTGCAGCGCTGAAACTTCCTACCGGAGGGAGCACCAGGCCAATGAAAATACTAATTTGAATTGAACGGGTGGCTAATTGAATGCATGTGTCCTGGTTGTCTGGCAAGTGGCAGCAGACCAACCGTGCGGTAGCGTCCACCTTCACATATATAGGGGAGACCCGGGAGGTATGGGCTCCCTGGAGGTATTGGCCCTCGCAGTTTTGAAGAAGTTTTGTGTATTTTTTTACTCATGACCGCGTAAATTGGTAGCAACCATTTTTTAAACAACCCATGTGATTTCCACGATCTTCCTCAGTCACCTTTGGCAATGAGCGGTGATAAAGTACCTATTTGTACCTAGAGGTATGTCCTCTTACGGTATCCTTTTACATTGTGACCTCTGCATGCATTTTTTGAACGCTGCCTAGGTCATGGTTTTCGCAATACGAGATCATTTTTATTTGTGAGCAGAGCCAGCAAAAAAGCAAACTGGACATACAGGGTGTCCAGAAAAAACGGATACTATTATTTTTTGCTGTAATTCCGAAAATAAACACCTTACATTTTAAAATGGCACATGCTTGTATTCGCCAAAATATGGCAAAACAGACAGCAGGTGCCACATGGCATGTAAACTCTTTGGTTAGTTGCGGCAGCTCCTCAAAGCAGATACTCAATGTGAGCGGCCTTGCGGCGGATCAGCTCCAGCACTAGCACAGTCTGCAGGTGACTGATGGTCATGTTGACCATCTCGGAGGGCAGGCAGACAACTTTCCAACGACGCATTACAGTGCTCATGAGTTTTGCCAAATCTTGCACTATAAACACATGAATTTGGAACAAAATTGGCACGTGCGTTAATGAATGCGACATAATTTCCGTAGTATCTTTTTTTCTGGACATAGACCTGCATAGATCCAAAATCTAAGTGCATGACTAGGATGTGGGAGAGTAGCGCGGAGTCGTTCCCTTCGTCGTGTGCTCACCGGCTCAACCACGTGGTCCCGACTCGCCGTCGACCGTACCGGCACAGCCTATTGATTGGTGCAGAGGGACGGAGGAAAGGAGGGAAGAGAGAGAGAGAGAGAGAGAGAGAGAGAGAGAGAGAGAGAGAGAGAGAGAGAGAGAGAGAGAGAGAGAGAGAGAGAGAGAGAGAGAGAGTGGACGAGAGAAAAAGAGGGAAGGAGAGAGCGTGAGAGAGAGAGAGAGAGGGAGAGAGAGGGAGGACGAGAGAAAGAGAGGGAAGGAGAGAGCGTGGGAGAGAGAGACAGGAGAGAGAGAGAGAGAGAGAGAGAGAGAGAGAGAGAGAGAGAGAGAGAGAGAGAGAGAGAGAGAGAGAGAGAGAGAGAGAGAGAGAGAGAGAGGAGAGAGAGAGAGAGAGTCGAACGATCCTCTCTAGTGAAAAGCAGGAGCCGATCCATTGCGTGGAGAGAAGAAAAGCTTATGATGCATCGAGAGAAGCCAAACCCCGAAACCGTGCTACCCGGCCTGGTTGACTGCAGCTGATAATAACAACGATTAACGAAACTCGGAGACCCCAGGATAACTCAAATCCACGTATGTCACGTGTAGCCGACAGCCCGATGGGTAGACGTTGGAGCCGTGGGCTGACAAGGGTTGTCCCAAAATAAAAATGGTAAAAGGCTTTATATTACTCGACCAGAGGTCTATGACCCAACCCAATATAGCTTGGCTTAGGTAACGTCCAAGCCAAAACCGGCTGATTGTGCTTGGTAGCACCATGCCAACCAGACAGAGTGTCAGGAGACCAGGGACGTAGCACAGAGATGACCTGCGTGAGCTCGCTATAAACAAAAGCAGTGTCCCAAAATTGCCTTGTCTGGGGTGCCAGAGGGAAAAATTACCCACCAAAAAGAGGGGAGAGAGTGGAAAACTGCTGATTCGATTAGATCCAAAAAGAGTGAGAAACGCCATAAAACATGGATTTTATTCTAGGATGTAGAATGTTTGATGCTAAACCGGGCATTCACACAACCGCTCTTTCTAGAGGTAAAAAAATCTAGGTTTTCTTGGTTGGGAGTGGAAAATTGTTCTTAAAAATTGGTGGTGAGAGTGGAAAATGGATTTCCTTTGGATGTCATTTCCCAGTCAAATCGACAAATTTTAGGACATTGAACAAAAGCACCCCTGACCAGCCAGACCCAGACCAGGTAAAATCAGGCCGGGCAAGGTCAAATTGAGGTCAGGCAAAGCAAGGCTATTGGACCGGTGCAGGTCAGTCCCGTACCTGCCAGGCACAGACTATAGACCAGAGGTGCAGACCAGACAGGAGGACCAAGTAAAAACAGACCAGTCAGGTCAGTTTTCCTGAGAGATGCACCGTCCAGACCCGCTCGTCATCACGGCAGGTGGTGTAGGGCCGCTCCGTGGTGTGAATCGATCCCCACTATACCAATACCCAACTCACGGCTGCGCAGGTTCGTTCTTGATGTAGTCAATGACTCGCTGTATGAGCGTCCGGGAACCTGGTTGCAGGTGTGTAGTCAGGCCTACAGAGGAAAGATTAGCATGGTCTTTGAGTCGATAAAATAGAGTATGTAAACGTTTAACTCAGCCTTCTCGGCTCGTCTTAGCCTCGCAGCTCGCTCAGCTTTGCCTGTTCATCTCATATAAGCTCCCCTCGACTCGATTAGTTCATAGGTATTCAGCCATCGTATGCATGCAGCTTTCGATGCCTGGCTACAAAAAAAAAAAACGAGCGTAGCGGGGCTTTGGATTTTTCCTTCCAATTAGTGACTGCTTCCGATAGACAAGTGCAAATACAGCAGACAAAACGTCGATATGCGCAACTGGCCTTTTTGTCTATAATTTAATCCTTGCATACTGATGACTCGTCCCCGTGGTCTGCGTACCCAACTGTGCATATTAATGTATCATATTCATGAGACACTGTCGCTGATTAATTTTTACGGCTACTGTACTCTATTGCAAGTGTTCTAGAAATAAATATTCATAATTACGTGTAACAAAAGAAAAAAAAACAGAAAAGAGTTAAACAAGTAGCACTGAGGGGTCCCAGGTAAGATATCTCGACTCCGCGGCTACATATAGCGCGGGCAGCAGCCATTTGACCTGCGTCTCGCCGACAGGCCACGTGACCTGCTGACGTCACGCGGCTCGAATATAGCCACCTGTGCTGTGATTGAGAGAATCCCGCTCAATGATTGGCTGCTGCTCCCCAACTGACTGACGTCACACAGGCCTCGTCTAACGAAGCATTAACGACTTATCAGCTCACTAGAGGCGTTGCCATGACAACCAAATAGACCCAGACACTGACGCAAGCCTGCCACAGAGAAACATCCATTGGCTTTTCTCAAGATAGGCCCAACGCGGAGATCAGAAGGAACTAGTTACCTACACTTCCATTCCTTGAAAAGACGCGCTATTTTTGGAAGGTAGTCAACAGCAAACTAACACCCAATCGTCTAGATCCAGAAGCTTCCTTTCAAACGGATCGCAGATAAGCTTGAATTTTAAGCTTCATGTGTCAACCAGCCCCGACAGATATCTCGTCTCGATGTCCCTGACATCTTCTGACCTCTGACCTGACATCAGGGCAGACCTCAGCGGGCCCTGACCGGGATAGACCCTCCCCTGACCGCGATAGAACCCCCGCCCCCCCCCCCCCTGACCTTCCCTGGCCAGGACAGACGCTCTCCTGACCAGCACAGACCCTAAAAACCCTCCCCTGACCAGCACAGACCCTAAGGAGTGGACCCTCCCCTGACCAATGAAAAACCTCTCCTGACCGGAACACACCTTCCCCTGGCTAGAGCAGACGTCTCCAGACCTCCCTGACGTCTGTATCACTGACCGGAGGTATGGACGGGACGCGGCAGCTCCTGGCTGACTGTGCCGGTCCCCGTCAGGCCGAGAGAGAACGGGTCCTGCTCCGGAGCCGTGCCCGGCCGTGGGGACACGTTGGAGTTGATGGAATCCTCGTCATCACTGGTGGTCGCGGGCTTCATCACCAGGGCGTGCTGTGCGGTCAGGCCCCTGTTGGTCAGGTGGGGACGGTGGTGACATTGGTGACGTGACAAAGTGATTTTCAAATTAGAAGCGATGACGGATAAGAGACGATTGGAATCGTTGTAAGTTGATACAAACGTTGAGTGGTGGGGTGAAATACAAAACTAGATGGTCAGGCGTCCAATCTAGACAGCTCGAAGCTCCAGCACATCTTTGTTAGATAGGGACAGAATTGAGGGATGTGGGGATGACAGCGAGGCAGACTGACAACGATCAATGCCCAACGGTCACCATTGATAAACGACTGGCACGCATTTGTATGGGACTTTAGAACCCTGAGAAAAAAAAAAAAACACGGCAGACTCAGCGAAACTCCTGTCTCTTGGTACATTCAAAACGCCCAATGCGTATCAATAAGCTGTTCTATTTCGCTATTTCACTATTTCGGGGGCTTTGTTCGCGAGCCGGTTGAACAACAGATCAGATGCAGCTGCTGAGTATGGCTCGCTGAAGCGCAGAACGCCACAGATGAAGGGCGTTATTTGCACCGGAGACACCGCTCCTAATTACCAGAGGCTCGCCAACTCTGCGACACAAACGCAGCACAAGATTAGCCAATTAGTTCACGGTGTTCGCATGAAATGGCACGGGTAAATACCATCTACCCAAATGGAGTCAGTAGCTCGGTCGACGGGTAAACACAGGATGGCAGAACACGACGCCGATAATTGACTATTGATTGGATATAATTATACCTACTGTCAGGAACACTGCCAGCATTTTACGTTTTTCTCTTCCATTGTGTTCCCTATGTCTTTATTCATATCCAGCGGCCCGACCGATCTGGTAATTTTCGGTTGATCAATGAATAAAACTCGTTGAAGCCGCCGGGCTATTGTCTTGCCCTCTTTGCATTTTGAGTTATTGCGAAATTTTGAATGAGAAAAAACGCATTGATCGACACACTTGCCTATCACCCCATCATTTTCCCCCCTTTAATTCTCGATACCGACTTGATACCGACAGAGTTGAAGTACTCCAAGTACTCGGCTTCTCCATTCTGAGGTGTTGTTTTTATCCGCTGGGACTGAGAGCGTGAGATGATGTTTTTCATACTCCAGCGTAGAAGGGTAGCCATACGGCCGCCACGGTTGACAGTGATGACATCAGTCATCTTTTGCAAGCTATAGCCCAAATCTTTAACGAGCTTGCAAAAGATGACTGATGTCATCACTGTCAACCGTGGCGGCCGTATGGCTACCCTTCTACGCTGGAGTACGAAAAACATCATCTCATACTCCATTCTGGTTTTACATGACGGTTTATATCCGCTTATGTAGCCTTGGAGCACTCCTTCCATGTAGCGGCAGACGGCCTGGCAAACCGGATTAAAAACAAAGCAAAATGTAAACTAAGACTAAAAAATGAACCACGAATAATTGGCTAAAGAAGCAAGCACCCTATTATATTGGCTGTTACTCACAATTCAACTTCTAAAAATAAGTAGTAACATATTGATGTGGTAAAGCTGTACCCATTGGCATAAAAACCGACGCCAATAACCGGGGAAACATTGCTGGACTCGCATTGCGTGTCCCCCAACTGACCCGTTCTGCTGTGCGCCGGAGCCGTCGGAGGCCGGGTCCGGGTGGGCCGAGTTGTCCAGGCCGTTGATGCCCGCCGTGTTAAGGTTCCCGTTGGTGTGAGCCGGACTGGAATCAGTCGACATGGGCACCTGCGGATCGACATCGTGGTCCGACTCGTCTTCTGATTTTGGAGTCGGGTTCCGATCGGACATCTGCTCGGACTGCAGGCTCCGGTCGGCCTGGTCTGACCGCTGGTCGAAATGGTCGGACCTCTGGTCGGCCTGGTCTGACCTCTGGTCGGCCTGGTCGGACCTCTGGTCAGCCTGGTCTGACCTCTGATCAGCCTGGTCTGACCGCTGGTCGGCCTGGTCGAGTTGCGAGTCCTGAGCTCGATCAGCCTGCTCCTGGTGCACGGCCGCAGCCGGAGTTTCCTGTGGAATAGATCCGTGAGAACAGCTCGCCGCACGCCGGGAATATCAGACTGGGGATTAAGTTTAAAGGGAGAGTTGGGGTGGAGTTTATAAACTCAGTAACCGTGCCTCCATGTTCTTACAGGAAAGCTGCATGAGCATTCAAGCATACATACTACACCTTTTTAGGCGCAATTTCAAAAAGTTAAAGGCCAAATTCAAAAATTTTACGTTCAAAATGCACGTGAACGTTTTGAATTTGGTCTTTGACTTTTTGAAATTGCGCCTAAAATGCTGTAGATAGCTGCACAGCTGATCAGCGAACACTATTTGTGGCCTAGATCCGGTCTGATAACCCAAAGGCTTCAACGTACAATAAGTACTGAGGTCAAATCAACTCACGGTCTACCGAAGTGGGAGCCTGGGGTTCTATCCCAGAAATATAGCCCGCCAGTTGTGTACCAGGAAATTTCCACAGGGTTGTTCCTAGCCCTCAGGTAGCTCAGAGCTCTTGGACTACTTCCCACTTAGCCGCGGGGTGGAGACGAAGTTCTTCGAATCGCCTCGAGCTGAGCCGAGGGGCTGACGGACGGAGCCACAAGTCCGGTGGCAGGACTGATCTGGAATTTCATTGTCTAAACTACAGACAGACAGGATTGAAGGCTAGTCGGTCTGAGAGCGGAGGGATGTAGAAATGCTTTTCGAAATCACCAGGACAGCCTAGCTCGCTCGCTTACCTCCGCCCGGGTCGGGTTTCCGTCCGAGTTGTGCGAGTCTAAGGAGCTGTCGTCTCGAGACTGTCCGTCCGACGCCGGGGGCTGTACGGTCGACCTGTCCTCCGTAGTTTGTGGTGCTGCTGAGCCCGTCTGCTCCTCCTCCGAGGAATCAGCCGTCTGAACAACAAAACAAACACAAGGGCCGAACTGAATTACACACGACATGTACAGAGAGCCTGATCTAACAAATCTCCACCTAATTCACCACCGTTGCTGATCAATGGATTCATCTGGAACGCAACAAGGGATCTTCCGCGTCATTGAATAAGCATTACCAATTAATACCGTCCGAGAAAGGCCTCTCATGTGCCATCGACGCAGTCAAGCTGAAGTTCGCATTTTGATAATTTTCACTATTCATGGCTGTGAGTTGTGACTTTCCGCGCCGTCCGCTGCAGCCAGACCCACCTTATCTGCCGCACCGCCGGCAGCGGCGTTGGCCGCCCTGGTCCGACTCATGATGGCGGCCACCCTGCTCCGTCGCTCTCTCCTCTCCTGCTCCTCCCTCTGTAGTTTCTCGGCGGCGGCGATCCTGGCGCGCTCGGCCTCTCGTCGCGCCTCCTCCTCCTCTTGCTCTCTCTGCTGCCGCTGCCGCTCCTCCTCCTCACGGCGACGCTCCTCCTCAGCACGGCGCTCCTCGGCCTCCTGACCGGACACACCGACACCGCAGAGGTCAGCAGGGATCGGTAAGGGTCAACAGAGGTCCCCAATCCCCAGATATCAACAGAGCTCAGCAAAGACAAGCAGATGTAAACAAAGAGGTCAACACAGGTCACCAGATGCCGCCTGAGGTCAGCAGGTATTAGGCACCAAAGTTCACTGGAGGTAACCAGGGGTCACAAGAGGTCATCAGGGGACCCCAGAGGTCAGTAGAGGTCAACAGAATTCATAAGAGGTCGGAGACCTCTGACTGATCTCTGACTGTGCTGACCTCCCCTAACGAGAGGTCAGCAAACCTGGGTAGAGGTCTTCAGAGGTTGACAGAGATCAGCAGAGATCAACTGAGGTCAGCAAAGGTCAGCAGAGGTCATCAGAGGTCACCGGAGCTAGTCACGGGAGTTGTCAAGCCCTCTACACCTTTTGAGGAATGTCAGAGCGTTGCAGCGGGTCATGGTGTGGCTTCTGGAAAAAACGGCGAACTGTGGAAAACCACATACTTGTTGTGCCAAATCAGGATAAAGTTAACAGCAAAACGGAAGTTTGATGAGGAATCATGCATTGCTACATTGATCTATCACTTTCCTCGTGTGCCGTCCAATAAACCACACGAGGCCATTGTCCGCATTAGGTATATCCAATGTCATACCAACGTTCAATTCCGCAGCTCCTAGTAAGACCCACCTGAATGGCTTTCTGGAGCCGCTCCTGCTCAGCGCGGGCCGCCTGCTCCATCAGCAGCTCCTCCTGACGGAGCCGCTCCTGCTCCTGCCGCTCCTCCTCCTCCCTCCGCAGCCGCTCCTGCTCTGCCTGCCGCTCGGCCTCCTCTCGTACTCTGCGCCTCTTCTCGGCCAGCGCGGCCCGGGCGGCGGCTTCGCTGTCATAGCCCGCCTTACGGCTCGTCGTGCTGCCGTCTGCGCAATCGGGGAGAAGATGCATGGTAGTGGGTTAATGGAAGCGAACTCGAGACAAGTGGACGTTCGGGAATCGTCTTAGCTGAAGAATAAAAGTAGATCGAATTTAGCGTACTAAAAGAGCGAGGGAAGCCACAGAAGCGGAGCGAGCCGTTAAAATTCATATCTATAAGAAAGTCGGAAATGATATCATTCTATAAGAAAAATTGCTAAACGCAGAAAGCATGTTCAACAGCTTGTATCCCGCGAGAACCGCTTACCGGCCTGCTCCGTCTGCTCTGACTCCGCTGTGACCTCCGGCTGCGGTGTGACGGTCGGCGGCTCAGTGCTGCCACCTCGCGGGTGCCCGGTGCTGCCCTCTGCACTACTGCTGGACGGCGCTGGACTGGATCTGGGCTCTGACCCTCCTGACTCCGAGGTCGGCTGCAGGCCGGTCCGTGATTCCGGCTGGGGTGTGCTCGACTTGGACCGCTGCTTCTGTGGGCAGTCGACAGCGGAAGGAGCGTCAAACCCTGACACTGACCTCACATGCAGCTCAATTGCTGGCGAAAGCATGTTGCGTAAAATTCGATGCCGTGATCGTTTTTGTTACATTCCTTATCAGGTTGATACATCTAGAGTGACAAAAACATTGTCACTTCTTTGCATGCAACTGACCCAGCATGCACCACTGAGTTGACCTGGTGAGTGATTAGAGCTCGCCAGTGTCTGACCTTTTTGCGGGCGTCGTCGGCCTTGACCTGAGCGGGCGTGCGCCGTGGAGAGGACACTGCTGCGGCGGCTGGCCGGCGGGCCTCACTGGTGGGGGCGCTGGCAGGCAGAGGGCGACGAGGAGTGGACGAGCTGCCGCTGCGACTCGAGCCCCGGCCTGGACAGGTGGGGTGGTGGGTCAACGGGGGTGGGTCACGAGCGGGGTACGACGGAACAATTGCAGGCATAACATATTCGTCGTCCATGACTGTCCCCACACACCGAAAACCACTGGCTTCTCCTTTTCAATGCCCCCCAGAGCGACATATTCACTACCGTCCAGAAAATAACTTGTGTCCTGAGTTCGCTGGCGCCAACACAGTGACATACCTCTCTGTCAAACTCCCACACCCCACATACCCGGTCTTGTCCACTGTTATTACTCCCCATGGCCCATATACACTACTACACACCTCTGACCAGCTTTCCCAGCTATGACATACCATCCCAATGCACCTCCCCGCAGCCTGTCCCACCTTCCGTCGTGTGCTGTGCGCCGGGCTCGGAGCCATGTCGCGGTGTGGGCAGACCGGCGATGCTGGAAGGCCGCGGTTTGCGCCCTCCGCTCCTGGGCCGCAGGGGGGACGGTCGCGCTGCGCCGCCCGCTGCCGCCGGCCCGGCCTGCTGGGACTGGGCCGAGGGAGGTCGGGAGCCAGCGGGAGCGCCGCCCACGATACCTGAGGGTGACTCAGGTCAGAACAGGGGATAGAGTGCGCGAGGGGCTGATTTTTACCATGGTTAGTACGGGCTGGGGCTGGATCTGCATGGGTGCAAGAGGGACTGGTGTACAGGGAACACTGTCGGTAAAAGACTGGTATATAGTCGGTACGATGAGGGACTCACGAGCAAGGAACAATGTCGATACGAGACACGTTTAATAAGGGACATCGATGCGGGGTAATCTGATAGGGTTGAGATGCTGGAGATATTTGTCGAACACCACAACACCTACCCTTACCATTGGGCCGTTTTCTCCTCACTAATGCGGCACAGAATGGCATCCGCATTTCAGACATAGGCACAATACGGTGACACATCACATACTACATCTAACCACATTCTAAGCATCTATACTAAAACAGCTCTGGTGACGACCGATAGAAATGTAACGGTGAATTGTTCAATGCACCGATTATGTCTGTTGAGATATTTGTTGCATTACGTCCATGAAACACATAAGTTAAGTGTATTAGTGCAACTTTTGATGGTGTATTCTAAGGTGATTAGAGCGATATCAAGCATCAGGCTGGCGAGCACTGTGCGTCGGCCAGGAAAAACGAAACGTTTGTGGGAACGATATAGCCTGCTGAGCTCAGGCCGGCTCCGTGAATAAGGCGGCATGGGTGGAGTTTCCTTTATCGTGCATAAACCACACGTTAAGCGAGTTGGTTACATGGAATTGAGGCCGTTCAGTACCCAAACGTCTGCTTTTCCTTGATATAATTAAATGGCTGGGCGTTCTTAAGCCCATTGAATCGAGTTTGTGGAGTTCATAGCCCTAAGAAACAATGGCTTTAGCAAAGCTCTACCCATGCGTCCAGATATAGGTTAATGAGTTTAATTTCATGCATATCGAATCCACCATTTATTTAGGGCGTTAGAAATTAGGGCTAGGCATGCTCGTTGCTCATGCTCCAGCAAGCGCAGAAGTCAGTAGTGAAAGAGGCGCAGACGGAGGCAGGCACATACGTTTTAGCCATTGTGATAGGTTGGTTAGACTGAGCCAAGGGAAACGTTAGAGCGGCGAGTCGCGGGACTCCGTTTACCTGATGGGTACGCGGTGCCGCGAGGTGGTGCAGAGAGTGCCTGAGTGTCTCCTCTGAGTTCCGCCGCAGCGGGCAGAGTGACTTGACGCCTTACCTCGGGCTGGCCACACCGAGACTGAGATAATTAAACCGACTCGGGGCTTACTGCTCGAATACAATGCATACGCAAACATACGAGCCAAAATGGCAGTCAGATACTGCCGTTAAGTCTGCTGTGACAAAAGTTGCAGTATGCTTGCCAGTTGAGGGGACACCAACCGTTTAAAGTCAGTTCCTTCCACTTAACGTCCAAAGCCGTTTACGTAAAAGCACTTGGGGGACGTCTCTTGGGCCTAGCTCATGGGAAAGACGGTCAACTTTTGTTAAAGCAGGTTCGATGAATGGTCTGCACGGAGCGGCCAAATACTGCGCTTTCATAACCCCCATAAGATATTTTATTCACGGGCATTCCGATGGAGATTAGGTACAACCAATAAAGCGCTTTATTTCACAGTCCAAAGTGTTCTTAAAGAAATTCTTACTTCCGCGATTGACTTCGGATTCCTAAGATATATGATACCACCCTTCTCTACATAGTACATAGTATTATACATTTCATATCCCCCCTCACGTCCCCGAACCCCCCCCCCCCCCCTCTCCAGGTGTGCCACTGACGTGTACCTATCTGAGTCGCTCCGCGGGTCGGTCCGCCACCTACCTGGCTGGTGCGTGGGCGACTGTCGGGCGGCTCGTCTCAGCAGGGTAGCTCGGGTAGGTCGCGGCGCCGCCACCGGTCCCAGGTGCCACATGCTCTGCCACTGACGGCCGGCGGCCGGCGCCGGCGACACATGCAGCAGGTCAGGGCGGCTGGCCAGCGGCCGACGCGGCCGCGACAGCACGTCCAGCCGGCTCAGAGAGACCGCTTTACCTGGCGAGCGGTGGCGCGCCGGCGGTGGGTCCCGGAACGAGTGGCCCGGCGGCGCGGTCGGGGTCAGGTCGGACCGGTGCCGCCGGGCGGACGGCTCCTCTGCGGGCGGAGACACAAAGCTGAGAGACGGTACGGGTTCGGCCATAAACATAAGCGAGATACAACATGGCACTTGGGAGACAACATGGCACTTGGGAGACAACATGGCACTGGAGACAACATAGCAGTGGAAAGCAACATATAGCACTGGGAGGCAATACGGTGATGGTAAATGGCACAGCGGTCAAGTAAGTACAGCCCACCGCTAAAGTAATGTAGGGTTTTACCAATCTCAACGGTTGGCTTTGACTGGCGATTGTTTAATTCGGAGTGATCGAAAAGAAGATGTCAATAGCCAAAGTTGCAGCTGCAAGGGTGACGATACATATAAGCTACATTCAAAGTTGCATTGTAGTCTGGTTAATCGTTCCTAAGCTTCAGAAGCAGAACATGCCCATGACTGAAACCGCACATTACTTCTGCTGTGGACTGTACGTGACAATTGTCATCGAATGTTAGCACTTCGATAAGAGACATCATGGCATATCACTCAGAGTTACCTACCTCATTACAATAATCGAAAATAAACGTCAACACGTGAAAAGAACATATAGGCATTGGTTTATACGATACGTTCAAAGCTATATTCATCTGCTGTCAGTAGGTGAATGAAACTTGGGTGAAACGTCATTTGTGGTGTAGCTTACTCAGTGTAGAATTTGCTGCAGCATCGATGGATTTCCTTCTTCCTGAGCAGCGTGAGGGAGCGGGGTTGGGGAGACTTATTAGTGTTTTGTCATAGTCACCAATACCATCAATTGACAGAGTTGTTGAAAACATCCGACCCAGTGTGAGCTGCATGCATCATTTCCTATTTTGTGTTGCAACGTGCACACAACGACTCAAAAGGAACCCAATCCGTGTGAGCCATGAAGAGTAGAGAAATGCCGCGCAGAGAGAAAATAAAAGAAAGCCAGGCGAATAGTGGCAAGCAAATTTACCAGCCGATGGATAGAATGAGCTACAATTAGGAAAATGTACTTACATATACACGGAATGAAAATTGTTGCTGTGTAGACTACAGGTACATACCAAGTATGTAGGCATATGCGGTTTCATGTATAATAAAACAACCTTGGCAACAACAAAAGCTGAGGAATCTCACGATAATCAACGAAATAGAAAGTGCCGGCAATGTGCAATAGAAGAACAAAAGAGAACAAGATCGAATGTTGCATCCTCACATCCAAATACCAACAGCAACTGCCCCACAGAATCATTCTACGCATCTACTTAACAATGTAAAATCTAAGACATAAGCAACGGAGCAGGCGTCTGCGAAAAAAAAAAACGGTCGCAGCAACAGTGCATCCCGAATCATCGAGCGAAACCCATCGGAGCCAACTTAACACGACGAAAGTCTCACTGGTCCGATGTTCTGTTTATCCTGGGACACAGGTCCAACAAAAGAGAAACCAAACGAGCAAGCCCAAGAAACGGAAAAGCACAACCACGCCGAACGGAAAAGACTACTGAGCAGGGGCGAGCGGCCCCCCAAGTCGACCAGCTAGGTGATCCTCACACAGGAGCTCACAGTCGCCCACTGCCGCTGGGGAGTCACAGCGGCCCATCCAGCGGAGCTGCTGGACTGTGAGCTCACTCACCGGCTCCACCGGAGCGCGCTCCGAGGGGACTGGGGTACCGGGGCGGGGGCGCGCGGCCGGCGGGGCTCCGTCCGCCGTCCGTCAGGTCCGACATCGAAGACGACGCCCGCCGGTGCTCGGAGCGCAGCGCTGAAAACGTGCCGACCGACACACTGACCACCGGCTCCAGCAAGGCGCAGGCTCGACCGGCGAGGAGGGGCGGACTCTCGAGGGGGCGGAGAGAGTCTGGCGTTTAGCGCTGCACAGTTCAGCGAACGAATAAAAGGCCATCGGAGACCCACAAGAGACCGCCCAGGACATACTTATCCGGGACAAATCTGACCAGTCCGGGCTCTTAAATGAGAGCCAAACAAGCACTACCTCCATTACCTTTAACACCGTTAGTGTTTGTCACTTAGAAGGTAAGTACACGTAAATGGTACAGTAAGGAAGCTTATTTGGTCTTGTAAGAACAATAGCTATTTAGGCGAAGTGAGTTACATCTGAAGCGGAAAGCGAGTCCAGCAGCAACATAGCTGCACGCACACAGTGGAAGATGTAGCTTTGTTTCTCTCGAACAACATTTAAAGGCAGATGGTTCTTGTGACAACAAAACATGCAGTTTGCAATATCGTTACTGTCTCATAAAGGCATTTACAAGTTACTTACGTAAGTGCATACATGCAGCACATAAACGTCTCGTGCAGGCAGGAACTTAACATGCCTAATACATACATTAATTTACGCACGAATAGCTGGCAGACAAATACTCCCATGCTGAGCTAATAAAGAGAGATCTAGTCAGCCAGAGATGGACTTTCCATACCGCTGCCACAGAACAGTCTCTGCCCATCCCGTCTGTGTGGTTCCGAGTGACAGCCATGAAGTGTGGTGCAAGCGGTGTCCGTGAGAAGGCGTGCTGCCGGCCTGTCTGCGGTGGCCAGCAGTGAGAGCAGAGCGGTGAGAACAGAGCGGTGAGAGCGTGCTCACCCCGTGCGGACGGAGCGGATGCTGATGCGGCGACGGACGGCAGCGGCAGCGGCAGCGGAGACGAGCCGGCGGGCCTGGACGGCAGCACCTTACCGTCGATCGGTGTGCGCTGGCCGGCCGCGTCGAGCTGAGAGCTGGACGTACATCTGGGGGTCAGATGGGAGCACGGGGTGACCGGCGAGGCGGGCCGACTCCAGAACTCGATGTACCTACCGACACCGACCCCGGTCAGCATACGACAGGGGCAGGAGTCGTCAGTCAGTCGGTCAGCCGTGAGTCACGGGTCAATCCGGCATGACAGCTCGAACAGAGTGCAAAGAAAATCAACATGGTATAAATAAATGAAACGCTTTCGATGAAAAGGAAGCCACAAAGAAACACATCAACGCCGGGTGGCCAATGAGTTAAATGTAACATAAATGGTACCGAACACTGGCTCTTTGCTACATAAGATTGGCTCTTTGCCGTGCATATCAGGCAACCATGGGCGGCGCCACAGGGGGGGACGGGGGGGACAGGTCCCCCGCTATCGAAAGTTAGGGGGGTACAGTACCCCCCTATCGGCGAGGCCCGTTCAATAGTTGATAATAATGCATTGTAGAGTTATCCGTCGCATTTAATGCATCGTTGGTTAATCAAGGCAGGTTCTGAATAAAGATTGCTGTTGTGATGTATCGCAGGGGGTCCTGGCCATCTGCAAAAGGTGTGGAGCTGTGATGCCTGTAGTTATAAGGTGATCGGCAGGGCCTCGGGGATCGTGCCCCCCCCCCCTTTTTGGGGCGCCAGGCAGGGTTATTACCTCCTCACCCCACTGCCAGACCCCATTGCCGACAAAACCAAGTTTACTGAAATTCCATAGATTTCCGCTACTATATGGATATTTTCCATTCCTAATTAGTCGAATTCAAGCATGGCAGTTCTACCACAGGAACCATTTGAAATCTATGCCATTTAACCCCAGCACTTGTGGGGAGAAGTGTTCGGATAGATCACAGGCAGGACCAAAAAAAGCACGCAGTAGCCCAAGACCTTATAATTGGGTAGCATCGGCTCCCTCTCGTCAAGGGGTTCGATACTTTTTTTTCTGCAAAACTAAGTTCGGTCGGCGGCCGAACGGCTGGGGGTCTAATCGAGCCAACCCCCCCCCCCCCCCCCACTCCCCTTCTTACGTCAGCGGCTGTGAAAATCGGAATCCTACCCTGGGGCATTTCACCTGCAGAGGTCGCCGGACCTGAGACCCTTTCACTCATTTTTTTTCAACGATGCATGCGCTCGTTTTTCCCGCGAAGCTCTTGGTAAGTAAAATCCATCAGAAAGTGTGATCAAATAATGGCTGGTGACCTTCCATGACCTAGCATGACCTTTTGAGTGACCACCGATGACATGACCACTGACGGCTAGCCATTAGCTGCACCCTGCCCGTTGCATATGGATCAGGTGGTGGTGGTGATGTCATGATTCTGAAATTATATTGCAGTTTTGGCGCACTTGTCAGAGCAGAAGACATTCCCACTTTTCCTCCATGACTATATGATGGCGAAGCCATGAAGCTGACCAGACGTAAGATTGAAAATTTGAAAGTACGAAACGTAAGAATGGTTGGCACTGCTACTCATCATACCTAGGTAATTCGCAGCTTGTAGGAAACCAGCTTTGAGTTGGCAAGACTGCAAATTTTGATTTAGAGGCAAGGATGCTTGAAAAGGTGATCGATCTTAGGTGTCCTAGGATAAGTTTGGAAACGGGATGCACCATTCGATGTATTTTGGGCTTTACCAAGTTTCGCGGCGTTACGTGCCTCGTTTTTTTTTGCATACACGATCAGTATCTACTTTTGGGATTTTCGGTCAGGCAGGTCCCCGTCCCCCCCTATCGAAAACCCGTGGCGCCGCCCCTGCAGGCAACATACACGACGTTTAACGGGCAATCACAACAAATGGAGAAAGCATGTCTAAAAAACGCATTGTTCTGTCGGTGAAGTCGGTTGTGCCTTAAAGAAACGCAAAGCCAAAACACTTGCACGTTTATTCAGTTTAAAGCTACAAATACCGCAAAAAAAAAAAACACCACCACTGCGACCGCCCGTAAACACTGCTGCTTTACGTAGAAGGGTCATGGATGTGCCAATATTAGGTATAAAACGCGATGGCATCGATAGGCAGGTGGAACGCAACCAAATCAGACTCCCTTACCGCTCCGTTTCTCTCGATAGCTGCAAATATCGGATTAGCGACGGGACACACTGGCGGATTTAAACTGCACGTTGTTCATAAATCGCCACAATGGGTGACAAATTCTGTCAGTGCATGCAGTGGAACGAAACACAAAGCCATCGACTTTTAATTTGAATGGTATCTCAGCGGCCTTTTCGAATTGTTGTTATATGTCGATGATTAAACTTACATATAGTTAGATGTAGGGAGGATACACAAGAAAGCCCAAGGCAACATCAGCGTCTCTTACAGGCACCGACGCTCAGCATTGCAGCCATAAGCTGCCGAGCTGAACTAGCCTGCAACTTTAATGGAACGGTCTGTGCTGTGCCCATATCTGCCTCGCCGAACTGACTATCGTCCCATATCTGCCTAGCCAAGCTGTCCCAGGCTCCATATCGCTCGATTGGAGCTGAATTGCGTCCGCATGAATTGACCTGCGTCCCAGTTCAACTGACCTGCGGCCCATGTCTGCCGAGTTCTCCCAGCGGGGTGATGAGCTGCCGAACGCCAGCAGGATCTGACTGCTCTGGTGGAGGCGGCGGTTCTCCCTCCAGGCATCTCTATCAGGGACAGGCCCGGCACGTGCCATCGGACTGGCCGTCACACGGAAATCCTGGTCCTCCTGAGAGCAGAGCAGGTCGCCGGGTCAGTGGGGATCATATCGGGGCAAGGAAACAGCCTGAGAATGGCTGAGATGCAATGTTTCAACAGGAAAACATGAGAATGTCCCGAGAATGGGGTGCACGGTTGGAAAAGAAGCTAGTCTCAGATCTCACCCGTGTGTCGAGCTCCTCGCGGCTGCGTCTGAGTCTCTCCCCATTGGGACGCGATCGCCGAGCTCTGGGCTCCCTCTCGCCGAACGAGAGACCAGTCGAGCCGGCGGCGGCCGCACCATCTGCGTGGCGGAGACACGGGATCGGTCAGCGGTGTACCTCACGGCACCGCCGGCACTGCGGCAGGCTCGCCGGTGGGGAGACCGGTGCTGCGGCCGCAGCGTCACGCACCGTCACGCCCGCCACCGCCGTGACGGACCGCTGGAGCGGGCGGAAGGCGCCGTCACATCGTCACGAGAACGCGACGCCGGACTCGCGGCACACCACACGAGACACAGACGGTACTGGTAGGCAGGGTGCATATACTGTACAGTGTACATAGACACATGCGGAACAGATGGGACACACCAATCTGGCAGGAACTTTTGTATGCACGAGAGCTGCAATATCTTCTTGGACTTGCAGTAGTTTAAAGATACCCTTCGATAATAAATTGCCAATAGAGACAAAAAGGTTACAATGGCGCATGCAGTTAGCTTTGCAGAATGTTTATCACCTGTTGAAATAGCTGCACCATGCAGACCTATCCCCAATCTCCCTTATTCATTTTATCCGGCCTGATGATAACCGACAGCTGTCCATTTAGCTTTCGTGCGTTCTTGTTTTTAACTCAGCGCCTTCGGCCGCCGCCTTCCGTGCTGATGAGTTTTTCCCGTCTGCCCAGGCTCGGACGGCAGTCGGCACAAACAAAGAAGTGAGGAGAGCTGCTTCTCACGCACAGGGCGAGGCCCGGGCGCCGGGCACCGACCGGCCAGAACACTGAGCTACTGACCGGCCAGTGTCCGTACCCTGCCAGTCTGCTCCAGTTGGAGTCAGACACCACCCGCTGACAAGGCCTTGGCCCACTGTCCTGGAACCGTGCGCCACCCCTCCTCCTCCCGCAAATCACCCACAAAAAGTCTCAGACGTGGACATAAACGCTTCCCCGAAATGTCCGTTCGACAATGCAAAAAAAAGTGAACAGTCAAGACAACGCGCGGGGCGCAAGCTTCCCTTACTCTTATCGGTACAATGATCTGATGTGATCTGAAGTAACGGATGATCTTACCCCAACAGGACATCGGTTGACTCAGGAGTCAGGCACCATGCCTACAACACATGCACGACTTTAAACACACGAACATGGCATGCAGAGCTGAGACAGGTTGATCGCGGGATGTCCCGTGATTGGCTACCCAGCTTGTTAGTGGACTCCCGGTACAGCTGTGGTTTGAACAGCAATCGATAGCTGGTCGAGGAAGTTGACAGGATCGATAGCAGCCGTTCTTAGCATCAGCCGAACTGAGTCAGCGTAGCGCTAAAACGAGCGGGCAGCGGCTACAGAGACCGGACGGCCGAATTGTTTAAAACTTAACAGAACTCCACAGAGCTCAGTCGATGATATGTGACGCCCGTATGAAAGGGAAGCCAGGGTAACGTCTAACAAAAGGATTAGAATGCAGATTATAATAATATCGCTACTGTTCCCAATGAGTCACATATAGGCACATACAGCGATCCAGAAATAAACAACCACATACATGCTCAACGATACTACGAACGGACGGGACAAGACAAAGCTAAGCTAGCTGGAATTCAGCGCGCTGGACCATGCGCCTGCTGTCTCTGCAGCTACCTGGATTGGCCGCGTGGTCTTCGAGGGGTATCTCATTCTCACGTGACCCGCACAGGGCGTCGGACACGTTACGGCTGGTTCGCTGGTGGTACAACACATCTGTAGAGAGGGCACGGTCAGAGCACTGGTGGTAGGTACAACACGTCTGGAGAGAGCGAAAAGGTAAAAGGACACAGAACGACACGTCTGCATGGGGAGCGGGCGATCAATCTGGTGGTGGTGGAACACGTAAGAAAAGGACGGCCGACAGGTCAGGGTCAGGCAGGAGCTGCTGTCAGATTGTCTCCTAAAGTATCAGAGCAGGAGGGCCGTACCGATGAAAGTCGGCATCAGCAGCACACAATTATGCAACCAAATGACTGCACAGACATCACTTGCAATATTTTGCCGACCACTCTCCACGTTACATAAGCGAGCACGAAAGCCGGCAGTGGACCGTTCTCGCGTGGCCTTCCCAGCTGGACCGCAGTTTAGCGTCGGTGCCCATCGACCAGTGTCGTGCCACGCCCCGGGTGGACCGACCGGCCACCCTGGCCGCGGTGCCGGGCGGCGCCGACGGCTCTCGATCTATTGACCTCGCTGACCTGGGTGGTCCGGAGTCGGACCCTGACCGAGGGGACGGCCGCGCGTAAACATGGATGGTGGCGAGCTCGGAGCAATCGGTCAGCACTCGAGAGGATGGGGAGACCATGAATAATCTGTCCGTCTGTTTGTTGGCTTGTTTGCGAATGTCTGCCAGGCCATTCGCGTGCTGCCATTCTCTTTCTGTAGATTAAGCTAACATTGAAGGAGTTCCTCTCATTTTATGTGCGCAGTTTCAGCTACAGCACCGGTCGAGTTCCTCGTCGCAATTCTCTACAATTGGTTGTGGGTGTCGAGTACGACCATCGGCATACGTCGCCGTTCTCTCCCTGCGCCTTAGTTCCCTCACAAACTTTAACCAATCAGCAGTCCTTGGTGCACCCTGAACGGCCACCGATCCCCGTCTGCTGTTCGGGGCCCTGCAGAGCAGCGCGCGGTGCTCCCTGCAGCGGGGCTCTCGGCTGCAGCCGACCTAAAGGACCCCTGGAGCCGATTGCACACCCCCGGACCAGCTCGCCTTAGTATGTAGGCAACCACCCCACTCCACGCCAGTTGGTCTCACCGGCGTGCAAGGCCAGCATACTAAACGGACTCGTGAGCGACGTCGGTCGAACTCGCCGGTTTAAAACCCAAGGAACGTTTAAAAAATCAACCCATTTTCAGGATTAAGCCAGAGTTGGCCCAATGTCGATAGCCACAATTCGATTGAACATTATCGATCCCGCGTAAATTCGAGCATCTTTTAAAAAAATTAATGTAAACGTTAAAACTTGAATGGTTTTTAGCACAGTTTTGAGAGACATTATGAATATAATAACAAAGCCGAAAGCTCCCGAAACTGTATTTTGTCTTTCTGAAATTTTATATCTTTTGGCTAATATGAGAGTAAGGTTAATATCTCTTATTATAAAAGTTAAAACCTTTAATTGATGCAAACGACATTGACATGCGACATCGCCGTCGGCCTTCAGCCAAGGAATGGCACTCTCTGGTCACACAGTCTGAACACTAAGCACAGAGTGCAAGGGTTGCGAAACATCGTGACTGTCTTGCTGGGTCTAATTGGCGTCACGCCCACGGACGGAGCAGGGTTGGCCTCAGCCACATACCAGACCGGCAGTGGGCAGAACGCCGAGAACGCCGGCGTGGCGCCCGTCGGCCAGTCTGGGGCTCCGTGAAGGTCACCCTGAGTCACCGCCGTCCGGTGACGTCACAGTGATGACGTCATTGGACCGACCGGCCACCGCAAGCTGTGGGTCACAGCCAGGCACTTTCCAGGGTTGGTGGGCGGGGTTGGGCTGAATTGCCTTAGTTTGTGATCGATCCCGATTCTGACATCAGCCCGGCCTGCAGGACGTAATAGTTCCGATTTCATCAAATGATCGTTATCGATCGGAAGAGGAGTCTGGATGTTGACCGAAGTCGTTCTAGTTTGATTATCCACTGGCTGGACAGTCTGACAGTCTACTACAGCGGCTGCCGGTCTGGCAGTCGCCTGGTATGACAGGCACCTGACTGGGGTGACAGCCGGACGCCATCTGCTGTTAGATCACCCGAGGCTCGTCCCGGCTCGATGTGTTGACGCAGCACCAACGGAGGTCTCCCGGCGCGGACCACCCACGAGAGTCGGTCGCAGCTGGGCGGCTGCGAACGTGGCGTCCCAAAAACTGTGTGCGGAGACAAAGTACGACATCCCAAAACTCTGACAAAGCAGGAGCATGGTGTCATGTGTCACGTCAGAAAACCTCCCGAACGTCGGCTTTCACCGAGAAAAGCCCTCTAGGAACGTCTCAGGTTGACACTAAGACCCGGATTGGATGCTCGGTCCCCACTTCAGAAAGGTGAGACCGGCGGCCGCGGGCCGCGGCAGCCGGGCGGTAAGTTCCGTCCCCATGTCGGTGTCCCGGCCGGTCGCGGCGGCTCTGAGCCGTCCGTCAGACCCGGTGTCCAAGGCTGTGACAATGCCGCGCGGGGCTGTCGCTGGCGGCGCGCCTCGCGGCCGAACCGTTACGTTTTCCGGCGCCGCGGTGCCCGTGCGAAGTCCAGCTCAGCGCGACGGAGCGGAGCGGCGCGCGTCTCGTGCTGGGCTGGCCAGGCCGGGCGCGGCCGGCACGGCTGTCACCGTCGTCTGCTGCAATCCGACGCGGCTGGGACACGAACCGCAGCCCCGTGCCACGCCCAGCTGCCGCGCGCGAGCGAGGGGAGGCCGGCGGCGTAGCGGCGCGCGGCACAGGTGCGCCGTGAACGGTGTCAGCTGCCAGCCGTCCGTCCTCCGCCGCGGGCTCACCGACCCCGGCGTACCGCCCCACACCGCCCCGCCCCGCCCCGCCCCGCCGTGCCGCACCCGACCGGCGCCGGTCGCCGGATCCGGCGGCCGCTATAAACAAGCCATCCCGTCGCCGCCGTCTGAACGGCTGAACGGGGCGGGGCCGGACGGGGTCGCAGCAGCGCTGCAGCTACCGAGCGCGACGCCAGCGCAGCTGACCCCCGCCACGGTCCGCGGGTGGGCGGCGGGGCACGGCCGCATCGCGAGCGGCAGCTCCGCTGGGCCGCCGCGCCGCTCTCTCACGAGGCCGTCGCCGCCGTCTCAGCAGCTGCCGCGGAGGAGGGCGGTGACCGCGCGGCTGTCTGAGAAGTGTTGACGGCACCGGCTGCTGCGAGTCCGTCCACCGCCGCGGAGACGCGGTTGAGGTGTCTGGATTCCACCGCCGTGGCCGCAGCGCACGTCTGCAGTCACTGGGGTGTGGTCGCTGCATCTGGCCGTCGTTCCTTGATCGAGAACGGCTCGATCGGGACAGTGAAAGGCTTGAGGGCGGCTCGATTCGATTTCTGAGCCATCACATCGAACTGTTTTCCCTGAAGAAACATGTACCTAACGAGATTAGGTGATCGCTCTTTAACCACGAGTTGCAGGGAAAACAACTGACAGCAAAAAAATTGCTATTTCACGCTATATACGCTAACGTGGCATACGCTCGAAAATGAAACGAAATAACGATTCAGGTTAGATAACGATTCAGTCGGTTCAGACTAGATTAGGTCATAGGTGAACTTGCTTTGTCAAATTTGTTCTACCTAATTACCACGCTGCGGAAAGCAGTAGATGGAACGGGAATGCTGTGAAATCTAGTGTAAAAATAAGTGAATGGCTCTGTAAAAATGTCTCAAAATTCGTTTATCAAAAAGACGAAGGTAAAGTTTGTTCTAGTTTGGCGGCCAGCTTCGTTCAAGTTGCTAGACTTGACATGAAGTCTGTATTGGTAAAGGATATTTTAATTCACCCGGGCTAAACAGACACTCAAATGTGTTTTGTTGCAAACTTGAGGCTGAAGTCTAGCTCAAACCTGCGGCAAGCTTGTACATAATATTTTTTTTTACAAAGTAGTGTCTAACGTCGTTGTATCGAACGGCAAATGACGGACGTGGTTGTTGACTTCAGTCCACTGTTTTCGATGGAAATTGAAACGCAACATGTTATCCTTCGACTAGGACGCACTGAACGAGACTATACCACCAGCACCAGCACCCCTCATCACTCATATACCCACACTGACCCGCAGCGGTCAGCCCTAACGGGGTCCTCCCACCTAAGGTCAGACCACGCCCACGCCCCGCCCACCGGGGTCAGATCACGCCCCTCACACTGGTTCAGACCACGCCCCGTCCGCACACTCACACTGGGCAGTCCGCTCGGTAGACATGGCTGTCGGCGACTCTGCACCCCGGTCCAGTCGTCCACCGGTCTCCGACACCGAGAGACACCGCGAAACACACCGCCGTCCGCGCCGCGCCGCTCCGACTGGCCACCGCCGCCGACAGACCGTCGGGCCCGGGCGCGAGTTACCGAAGTGTGGAACTGTATATACGTCGACTAGCCGGCCGGATGACGTCACACCACGGCTAGTGCCGGCGCGGTGGCAGACTTGTCGACATTGGTATGGTCTTAACTTGGCGAAGAGGCATCGGACGCCAAAGTTCTGCTGCAGCTAGTTAATCGCGTTTCATTTTTAGCGCATTGTGTTTCTTCAATGTGTATGAGCTATCAAGTCCGCTTCAAATACCTCCTGTACATACAGGAGCGCGTACCTACCTACATTTAGTGTGTGCTATGCTATGTGTATTGAGGATTGAGGGCACATCCGACTCGCTGCGCTATTAATTCTGGTATTGATTGGTTGATTCTGGCATTGTCTTCGCGCAAACCATTGAAAGGGAGGACGTCATTTTTAAGCAGCTGCTAAGTAGGTACACTCCAATGTTTAAAGATTAGCAACTGCTCATTGAATTTCTGGCGAGTGGCAGTGAAACGTTCTGTTCATAAATGAGTACCTTACTAGTACCTAGTAGGTACCTACCCAGTGGCAAATAACTACCGCAGTCAATGAGCATGATTCACGAAGTCCCTAGATTTCTATTAGATAGGCCCTTCAAATGTGCAACATTTGCGTCTTCTCCGCGTTGTATCGTTTCCAGCAAATGAGAAAATCTGCATCTTCTCGACAGCCCTGAACTCAACAAGCTTTCCACATGGCATTATTCCCGAACATAATTTTCAAACATGGGAATCCTCCTCCCCCCCCTAAAAAAAAAAAAAAAAAACGGAAGCACCGTTTCCGTCGCCTCCAATGCGCCGCTCGCCCAGGGAGACGGGAATGTTATATTCTCGGCGGTCCAGTCTGTACTCTGCAGCACGCTCAAGGCTTGGCGGACCCCTAGCTCATGACTGCCTGCGCGATTCGTATTGTGAGGTGACGATAGCAAATGAATTCACTGGTGTTTCGGAATAATTGAAGGCGGCGCAGCCCAGCGTCTTAAAATGAACCACAGCGGCGAATGCACTATGCAGAGAAGAAATTGATTGAGCAGGTGCTCAACCACGCTGAATTGTTAATGTAAAATTGTGCTTTACATTTTCATTATTGCATTTAAGGTTGGAAATGAACGACTTGCGACCCTTATGGCTTACATAACTCGGCACCCTGGTTCGGTTGAACTACACTGCATCTCTTCGGAGCCTAAGCATTTTACAATTTACAACTCAGCTATGCACAAGCACAGGTTTATAATTCAATACTCAACTCCCTTTCCCTATCATCTTTTTGGCACCGTCAATCGCCGTTTGCGCTGTCCACTGTCCAGCGAATAAAACCGGCCGTCTCCAGTTCTCCAGCAGGGGCTTCCAAACTCAAGCGAACTTGCCGAGGTTTCGCGATTCAATGCACAGGATATGTACAATGGAGTTTGAGAGCCTCTGGATTGGCTCGGCGCGCCTGCGCTGCGCCGTTGGTCCGTCCAAGTACGTGAGTGACGTCATGCTATAAGCGTCATCCCTCGACCATAGTCACCAATCAGAGCCCTATAATTGACGTACAGTTCCACACTTAGGTAACTCGCGGCCCGGGCGGCTGAGTCACAAGGCCGGGAGCGCCGACCGCGTCCGGGCGGCGGCGGCGGGGGCGGGGGCGGGGGCGGCCGGCCGTGCAGCGCGCACACCGTGACGACGCCGAGCGGCGGCGCGCGCCGCGCACACAGAGACAACTTGGACACCGTTCTGCTCAGAGGGACCGCTCAGGGGCACCGTCCGGCAGACCGACTCACAGCCGACCGAACGATCGCGTTCGTTACGCCGGAAGCTCGTTAGCCAGTGGTATTCCACTGAGGAACGGCGGAATGTGACCAACTATTGAGGAATTTAGATTATGTGAGCTTCTAAACAACAAGGTAATACCTGGCTACGTGTTTTCCATCCATGTTCCTCAGCCCTTGCTCTTACTTTATCAGTCTCTTCCGTTTATCTGCTTTCATTGAAGTGATGCTTACCTAAATCATTCAATCGCATTGAATATCCAATCTCTGTAATCCCTCCGAGACCCTCTCATTCTCCCTCTCCCTCTCTCCCCTCCCTCTTTCTCTCTCCCCCTCTCTGATCTCTCTCTCTCTCTCATTCTCCCTATCCCCTCCCTCTTTCTCTCTCTCTCTCTCTCTCTCTCTCTCTCTCTCTCTCTCTCTCTCTCTCTCTCTCTCTCTCTCTCTCTCTCTCTCTCTCTCTCTCTCTCGCTCTCTCTCTCTCCCTCTATCCCCTCTCTCATTCTCCCTCTCTCTCTCTCTCGCTCTCTCCTCTCTCTCTTCGTTGCACCTCAGTTGGTAGGCCCCAACAGCTCTCAGTCGCGATGCCGCGGCGGCACCGTGTATTGGACGAGGCAGGTGATCAGGATAACCGGCCGACCCGACATCGCGGCCCCGCGTGTCCTGTTTGATGGATGATGAGTCACCCGAAGTGGTATGGCGGCGCGTTTACCCGTTCACCCGTCACCGCGGTGCACATCAGACATCACTTACAGCACACCTTGCTATTGCACACGTTTACCTGTAATGTGTTGCCGAGGGCGGCATAAGGTCCGTTCACTTTGTATCGGCTGGGTCAGGACGGGATGCAACATATGACCCCACAACGGCCGTCGCCCATCCGTTGGTCCCGATTCCTTCCTAATATCAAAGTAGGATGGCACTGACGCATGCACCAACTGACCCAACCGACCCTAGTCGAGGAGGTCCGATGTCTCAGTGTCACTGTTATGACACTCGTCGCGATCACGTGTTACCATGTATGTCGATGATGCCACCAAGTGTCACCGGTACTGTTATGGATTGAATCGGCTAGCACTGACACGGGCTGAACGATTGACAGTAACACGGGTCGTGTCACTGACACTGGCACAGGTCCTATCAGTTATCACTGATACTGACACGAGTCGTACCCAAGGCTATAGAACTCCAGGTAAGGACACCAGCCGTTTGACCTGGAACGCCGCCGGCCGGCCGATGACGTCATTGGAGGCAAGCCGGCTCGGCGGACACACAAGGCGAATGCATAACGGAGGGGCGTTGGAACGTTGCGGGAGCCGGGGAGATATTTTAATGTGGTTGTATACCACCATTGTTATGTTTATTGATCTACAGACTGCATTCTTTTAAACCTCGATGCACTCTAGGCCTGGATGGTTCGTACATTCGTGGAACGATCACCCCGTCCGAAGTCCGTGGTCGAAGCTGTCATAGTATTAAAGACACTAAGACGGGTGCAATAACGGCGATCCGATCCCGTCTCTGGCGAATCTAGAAGGGTCGTAAGGACCCAGGCCGAATCTGACCGTCTATTTTTAGGGAAACGGGGTGGGTGAATTGACAACCGATGGCTTAAGAGATAATGAGAAGAGATCCCGTCGTCGATTGTTGTTTGACAGACAACACATGTTGTACTGGACGTATGACCATCAGAGGTAATGCCTGAACGTAGGCAAGCATAATTGTTCTGTCATACTGTTTAGGAATATAAAATGGTAATGGAGATTATTGAGGATATGATCTCTACGTTACAGGAATTCGCTAATTACTACGGCCCATAGGGGCACCGCCGGAGCTGTTGTTTTGCCATCGGTCCCAGGCAACTCCAGGGAGCTGCAGTACCCGGCGGCCAAAGCGGCCCACCTCGTCGACTCGCAGGTCCTGTGGGATTCCGTGATGCTTTAGTGCTTCACCCACAGAAGCACGGGCATAGCAGTAGGATGTGGGGCTAGGTGTCTGTCCACCTCTTCATTGAAAGAACAACGTATACAGCGCCTGGTCCCGCCGAAGCTCGGTATCGACCGTGACTTATTCACAACTGGCGGATCCAGGAAGCGGTCTTGGACACTGCGGGGGCTTACCCCAAAAAGATTTCTCGGAATTAATTTAAAAAAAACTCTGATTTCGATTCCTTGCGCACTGCTGTGCAGTGTGATTAACCAACATTTCCTCAGAAAAGTTGTGAAGTTTTCTTTGATTCTCGAAAAGCGATTTCGGGCGCTGCCAATGTGGGGGAAGACATTTGCCCCAAATGCCTTCCCCTGGATCCGCCAGTGGGTTGCCCCACTCCGAGCTTGACTAAAACCATTTTCAAACCCCACCAGAAACCGATGGTAAGGTGAATTTAAATCCAATAACTCATCTCTGTCTGCCCGCCTAAATATGTATACAACACATGGTACGGCACCCGGCCCTGTCTGAGCTATGAGCCAATCGCGATATTTTAGGCTTTCCCCAACCCAAGCTCGATTAGGAACGTTCTCCTTCCCCACCCGATTGCTGATGTCAATTCAAATTCAATACCTCATCTCTGTCGGCCCGACCATAACCCATTCATTGCACACCGTTCAGCGCCCCGCCCCGCCAGAAGTATCCTAGCGCGCTGAGCAGTTGCCTCCAGCCGCGTCATCGCGAGGCCCCGCGCGGCCCATAAATTAATACATTGCGCGAATAGCCGTGTCGCCCCCCTGGTCGTACCTATAATCGACACTGACACGTGTTATAATATTGCTACTGCGTACTACCACGTGTCACAAACCATGACAAGGTCGTATCAGTGACACAGGCATGTCACTGACACTGACACACTCACATCACTGACACAGTCACCTCACTGACACTGACACTCACACGAACCGTATGCACTCACCCGCGGCGCCGGGCTCCTCTGGCAGTGGATACAGGTGACGGCGACTCGGCCGCAGCTCTCTCGACGTCTCCGACCACCAAAACATCGCATCGGCACAGCTCGGACGCAGCGAGGTCACACCAGGTCAGGCCAGGTCATCTCAGGTCAGAACTGCGCTCGGATCACGGCGGGGATGGTGCCATCCGTGGGATGAACTACACGTCACTCCAGTATAACGCCAGCAAGTGCGGGTCGGAGCGCCTGATCGGCAGTAGTCAGCCAGCCGTCCCCAGCTGCGCACACACACCTGTGAGCAGTGGCGTGAACAGGAGAGAAAACGGCGGACAGGAGACAGGACAGGACAGGACAGAGGACAGACATCAGGATTGTAGACGGGACAGAGGACAGAGGAGAGGACAGAGAACAGGACAGAGGAAAGGACTGGAGAGGACAGCGGACAGACAACAAGACAGAGGACGGCAGGTGACAGGACAAAGGACAGGACAGAGCACAGGACAGAGTGTCACTGCAGCGTCTTACATGGGACAAAGGGCAGGACAGACGACAGAACAGAGGACAGATGGCAGACGACTGGACAGGACAGGACAGAGGACAGCGGACAGACAACATGACATAGGACAAGACAGATGACAGGACAGAGGAATGACAGAGGACAGAGCAAAGGACAGTACAGAGGACAGGATAGAGGATAGGACAGAGGACAGGACAGAGGACTCAGCATAATTACATCAGCATTGCTTGACCTTTTACTATCCGGCTCCTCCGATTTTAAAGGATTTCATTCAACATTGTCGAGGAGGCGGGAAGTCATTGAATTCCTTATTTTTTCATTCAAGGTCACATATTCACGAGCAATGCTCTGTTCACGAACCGTTCGTGAACATTCATGGACGTTCATGAACAAATAATAATTTCTGATTTGTTTGTTATGTTGGGTTAGGCCCTTTCGGTCCAATTATACCTTTTTACACTAGTGCCCCTTTTTTGGCCGTACAAGGGCGATTTTACGGATATTTTACGAGTTTTGGGGGCTCTACGGGCCTTAAACGTCAATGCAACGGGAACCGTTTTGGGGAAAGTTGCTCGTCTGATGGTGGGGCACCTGTGTGCCGATTTTGAACGAAATCGGGAGGAACCCGGCCCATTGACCCAAAATTTTGATTTTCCCGTAAAAACTTTCCTCTGGGGAAAAAGTGAAATTTTGCTGCACAGCTGTGTCTAGGTAAACGAGAGCTTTCGTTTCATATCCTTTTTTACCCTTGCGCCCCTTTTTTGGCCGTACAAGGGCGATTTTACGGATATCTTACGAGTTTTTGGGGCTTTACGGGCTTTAAACGTCAATACAACGGGGACCGTTTTGGGGAAAGTTGCTCGTGTGATGGTAGGGCACCTGCTGCCGATTTTGAACGAAATCGTGAGGGACCCCCTGGCCCCTATTGACCCAAAATTTTGATTTTCCCGTAAAGATTTTCCCGTGGGCAAAAAGTGAAATTTTACTGCACAACTGTGTCTGGGTAAACGAGAGCTTTCGTTTTGACACCCATTTTTACCCTAGCATAGGCGCGGGAGCCGGGGGGGCAGTGGGGGCAGCTTGCCCCCCCAACTCTGGGGCCGTGGGGGCGGTGCCCCCACAGCTTTGAGACGGATTACCACACTTTTTTTTGCAAATGTTTTCTTTTTCTGTTGAAAAAGCCGAGGGGTGAAAAATAAGTGGCCTAAAACCGGTGAGAAAACTAGATTTGGGGGTACCCTAGGTTGATCTCTATTATGGTGTGCCCCCCCCCCCCCCAGTCGGAAAGTAGTTCCCGCGCCCCTGTACCCTAGCGCCCCTTTTTTGGCCGTACAAGGGCGGTTTTACTGATATTTTACGAGTTTTTGGGGTTTTACGGGCCTTAAACGTCAATGCAACGGGACCGTTTTGGGGAAAGTTGCTGGTATGTTGGTGGGGCACCTGTGTGCCGATTTTGAACGAAATCAGGAGGGCCTCCCCCCCCCCATTTACCCAAAATTTTGATTTTCCCGTAAAAACTTTCCTATGGGAAAAAGTGAAATTTTACTGCACAGCTGTCTCTGGGTTAACGAGAGCTTTCGATTGGTGTAGTTTTTTAACCTTGTGACGTCATTTCTAAGGGAAAACGGGTCATAAAGGTTTCCCCCTACCGGGTGATTTTTTCCACCTACTGAATCTGTGTTGTGCTGAATCTGTGCCAACTTCAGTTACATTGAGGTAGCCTAGATGTATGTAGCCTAGATTTCATCGGAAACCCGAAACATTGTACTAACGAATTGCTGCATCAGTCAATTGAGCATTGTATTATGCTCCATAGTTAGTGCTTCAGTTACAATGAGGTAGCCTAGATGTATGTACTATGTAGCCTACATTTCATCGGAAACCCGAAACATTGTACTAACGAATTGCTGCATCAGTCAATTGAGCATTGTATTATGCTCCATAGTTAGTGCTTCAGTTACAATGAGGTAGCCTAGATGTGTGTAGCCTAGATTTCATCGGAAACCCGAAACATTGTACTAACGAATTGCCGCATCAGTCAATTGAGCATTGTATTATGCTCCATAGTTAGTGTAGTTATGTTGATTGTAATGTTGCTATGCTGAGGAAAGCGCATGAAGTCACTTGACTGTGCCATAACGGATACAAATGTACGGCATTTACTGAATAACTGAAGAAGCTCGCGGAACTGTCGACTCGGGACAATCGGCTTATTCGCCTAAACCATTCATCTCTTCAAAGCACATATATTTTTGAAGCTGTGGTAGCGTTAATCTCACATACACGTACTGCTAGCTAGTTACAATGATCCATTAAACATCCATACAGCAAATATGGTTGTTGACACGTATAACACTTATCAATAACACTTATCATCCAGCTCAGAGTATCACTGCGTTCAAAACGGACCACTCCGGGCGTAAGCCAATCAAAAGGACCAAACCAGCTATATACACTGAAAGACTCTCGATGGCAACAAGCTCTCAAGCAGCTCATCGCCTCGGTTCGCCTTCCTTCGACGACAATGAAGGGCCGGTCGTAGCGACAGCAGTGTCAACTACCGGCGATCAAAGTAGCGACATCTTCCTCGCCTCGGCCAACGTCACTATCAGACGGCGCACTCAGCTCAGTCAGGGCGCCTCAGTTTTGAACAGCGTGCGCCGCTCAGCAGGGGAATCCCGCTCGCTGCTGGTCGTATCGCTACTGACGGAGGCCGGCGGCGCGGGCGCGGCGCTGTCACTGGTGGAGCGGGCTCTCAGCAGACTGCGGCGCGCCGCGCGGAACGACGCCAGCACGGCCTTCAGGTGGTCGTATTCGATCATGTCGTCCACCTCGACGACTAGGCGGCCGGCCGGACACGGACGGCGCGCCGGCGGCTCCTGAGGGTCGGGCGAGGACGCCGGCCGGCGCTGCTTGGGCAGCGCGCGGCTCCGGTCGGTGCGCGCGTCACGGTGTGGGCACTTACACACCTTCACCTCCACAGACTGCCGACCCAAAGCCTCTCCGGTGCTGTCGGCAAAACGGGGGGAACATGAGTCAGTTTTTGGTCAACTGTAAGATTCAGACCGTGTACGTTTGGTCAGCAAACGCAGATAACGCTTCGCGTGGTCTGAAAGACATTACACCGTGTCGCGACTCGCTATATGCCACTGAAAGAACAAGCGGCGCCAAAGGACTGGAATCTGACAAAGTGAATCAGGTCACCACGCGGAACATCGAGTTGACCTACTTTAGTTAGTCCAGTTGAGAATTTAGCAGACCGCTCAGGTCGCACAAGCCATATCATTCGATGCTTAGGCCTACAATAGGAAAACGAAAAGCTACCTTATGTTAGTTACATGCTCGTTGACCGTCAACATTAACCACAGACCTCCCCATCTCCACCTGTTCCCGATAGACAGCACTGGTTCAGTGCCTGTCGGGCTGTCCCGCAAGCAGTAGGGGTGTCGCGAACACCGTCCGCTCACCTCGAGTCCTCCAGGGTGAACAGGACCATCAGGCGGCGCCGATTGATGCCACCCACGCAGGTGTTCATGCAGCAGAACCGGTAGGAGACCAGGTAGTCGAGGGTGCCCGGCGGCGGTCGTTCGTACGGCACCACCACACTGCGACGCTCCTTAGTAGTGCCTCCCTCCTGGTACCTGTCGGGGAGCACAGCTGGTCAGATACAGAACACAACCGGAGCGCACAACCGGAGCTTACAGAGGGGAACAAAACAGGGGCACACAACAGAGACACACACCAATGACGCCTACCGGTATCTCAGTTTATAAATGTTCCTCTACTCAAAATGCCGTTTCATTAACAACAAATAAAGAATCTCGGCGGGCTTATGTGGACTATCAATCAATACACGGCTACGGATTGAGCAGCAAAAGAAAAAAGTAAATAAAATAAAATATTGAATCGGACACTACCAGACTCGTGAGAGAAAGTGTGTAAACGGTAGATATTGACCTTGCAAAGCCTTCAAAGAAGATAATATGAAATGCCCCGATCCAGAGCGGAAACACGAGTTTCCGCACACTTACACAGCATCGTCGTGCTCGGCGCGAATGACGTGGTCGATAAAGCTGCCGGCGCCGTTGTTGCACTCGAGCTCGGGCAGCCGGTGGGTGGGACAGCGGCGCACCGGCGTGTTGACGTGGTGCATGTCCGGGTAGACGGGCAGCGCCGACACGCGCAGACGCGTCGTGTCCGTGCCTTCGGCGACGCGGAACGCGAACGTCACCGCGATGATCATGTCGACGTACAGCTTGTTGGTCTCCCTGTCGAACACGTAGGGCGGCTGGCGGCCGTGCTGCGCCGGCGGCGGCGTGCGCACCGACACGCGGAACCGGTGCTGGCCCGGCCACGGCTCCAGCGCCGGCAGCGTGTTGTTCACGGCAGACTCCACGAACCGGTCGCCGGCCGGCTGCACCGGCTGCGGCGGCGGCGCGTGCGGCAGCACATACTGAGGACAGAGGAGCCACAGTCAGAGACGGATCCTCAGGGGGACGGTCAGACGGACGATGGACGCCGCCTTCCGACATGCCCTGCCACGCTAAAAAAACAGCTCCTTCATGATTCTGGTAAAAGTTTTACTTATACTATTATTTTTTATGTGACCTGGTGACCTGACCTTGAACGACCCGGGTCTAAAATTTTCACAATATGTGCGGAAAAGATGCATGAAGAGATGTACCAAAAACGCGAAAAAACTGGGGGGGGGGGGCGTAAAAACGCCCCTTTCCAGCACAGCGCGGATCAAGCAAAGCCACGGAAGAGCCACGGAAGCCCGCGCCCCGTAGGGCTACCGGCGGACCCTACCACCCGCCGGTCCTAACAATGCCTAATAAACAATAAACCCGTAGGGGGGGGGGGCGTTTCGCCCCCCCCCCCACTAAGATCTCGGAAATTTACCGGCCGATTTTCAAAATTCAAACGGCGTTCGATAGCCCCAACCGGGTACTACCTTGTGACCAAATTTCATTAACCTAGGTCAAACCGATGACGTCACAGGTCAGGTCAAAGGTCGGATTTTCACCGCTCACAGGCATTTCAAGAAATGTGTTGTGAAATCGAGTAAATTGGTAATTTATTGAAAACCATCGATGGTACATGGTTCGTCAAAACAAAACTTGGCTATCTGAGGTCACTGATCCTTCCAGGTCAGGTCACAGCGAGGTCAGGTCACCGGGGGTCACAATATGAAAGTGTCGTGTGATACATGTTTTATGGTCCATTTTACATGACAAATGCGATTATGTGGGTTAGGCAGCCTTTGGGGACAGCCTAGGTCACGTTTTGGTGAAGATCAGGTCAAGGTCAGGCCAAATTGGGTCAAATTTAAAAGTTGATATTTTTGCATACAATGGGTATCGATTCGATGCAGCTCGTCACGGGGAGTCTAATGATGGTCTTTGTTTTGTTCTACGATGTCTGGAATTGCCATAAATTGAGTTTGAAAATTTGACGTCATCATTTTTGAACAGTTTTTTTCATAATAAGATAAGAATAACCAGTAACCTCATAATATAAATCAGAAATGGAGCCAAAAGGTTATATTTAAAGTTATCGAATATTTCGCTCCTGGAGCTTCGTCAGCGATAATTACAGAAAAACATAGACGTTTTAAACATGGAACAACAAAGAACACTGCAGAATAAATAGCAAACTCATGCTACACTTCGCAAGGGACCGACATTTTTGGCGAAGTTTGAATAGGTACAATATGAATGTATGTATACCATTGACCTCTAGAAGTCTAGACACACTTTTAGACTTTTCATAACGTGCCGCCCGGCAACGCTGTAAAACTCAAGGTCATTCTGACAGGGGGGCATTCGTCGGCCTGCGGCAAACGTTCACCGTTGTTGGTCGTATTCCCGTTGGTGAGCGGTCTTGCTAAAACTCGGAAATGACGAAAAGTTGTTCTGCGATCGGGTGCACGAAGAGGCAAGGAGGTCAACCCAGGCATGGCACCGTTTTGTCGTTCCACAAGTAAGTTTATGTGCCTGAATTAGCTTTTTAAGGATCTTCTTTTTAAAGATAGGTCTGCGCCGTTATTGTCGTCAGGCGTGCTGCGTTTCGGCATAAATTGAAACACATATTTCTAATTATTAATTCTGTTGAGTTGAGAAAGAGAATGATAGATTAAGATGCGTTAAGTATAATTTCATGTATTTCTGAACAAGAATGCTATTTTTACCTTGTTGATTGCTGCCATCAGGAGGAATTTTCTACACTGGAAACAGTTTGAGATAACTAAATCCAATTAACCCAAATCACATAAAAACCTAACCTGAAAGACTCATAGCCATCAGTTGAGAATCCACATTATTTCAAAATTCAATATTGTGTTAGGAAAAGGCAAAAGCAGTGATGTGGTTAATGATAAGTGATACCTAACCAGCAAAGTAATACCACGTAAAAATCACAAGATCCTACAAGCACAGTGATCCGTCATCAGAAAGATTTAAGCTTTTTACAGGGAATTGAAATGTGTGTTTTGGTAAGAATAGTCATATGAAGTAAAAGCAAATCTAATTTTTTTCTTATCATTCATGGAAATGTAACTACGCGTGCTTACTGCGTAGCCTCTCATAAAACCGTGGCCCTGGGCAGTGGGCTTGACGAGATAGTTATCTCTGGGCAGCCCAGATCCTGTCAAAAGGACAGTTTACCCTCAGTTATCTGTTAGCCTACCCAAAATTGTACCTTTGTCACCCGATCTATGTCACACTTGCCCTGCTTTCCATGTGTTCTGCCCTATCTCGAGTAGGTACTGGCCTGAAATCCCTGAATGATGCCATATTTTTTCAGAGCCGCCCCAGTTAGATCATGTCAAACCCTGCCATGTTTTTCAGACTGTTTTTTAGCTTCTTGCTGTCCAAGAAGTGATATTTTGATGATTTATTATGGATAAAAATGTGAAAACTAAATTGATTACCTACTAACTTTTATTTGTTTGCATTATCTGCTTTGTCTATAAGGAGGCTGAAAAGGACTTAGGTATATTGAGGACATTACATCATAGATGGGCTAACATCATAGATGGGCTAAGCTCAACTGCTGTAGCCTGATCACGGAAATCAAAGCTTGGGCAGTGTCAGTATTACAACAGTAAACCCATCTGTCCTATCCTACAGCTGCCATCTGTTCTGGTTTCTTATTAAGCTTCTTAAGCTTGAATGGAATGATTGACTAAAAAGAGCAATTGTAATATAGCATATAAAGTATAACAAACAACATTACAATCTACCTACTCTGTATTGTTAACACAAACGTGTTTCGTATTAACATCACCAGTATATTAATCTGATACAGAGAGACAAATTATAGTATCAAGAGAATAAATAATATAAAAGAAAATACGTTCTAAGTATTGATTGTTGCTGTATGTCCTGGTGTCGATAATGTCCATTATATATTTTTACTGACATGTTGTCAGTTTTGTTTGATAGGTAATGTCTACAGACTTCAGATATCAGGCTTAAACAGTTTTCTTTTCTTTCAGGTTTCCTCATGAAGATCCAAAGCTGCTAAGAAAGTGGATGGCTGCAGTGCGGCGACGAGGAGATCACGGAAGGCCATGGAAGCCATCACTGACTGCCATGCTCTGCAGTGATCACTTCTCTGAAGATGACTTTCGTCCCAGCCATAAGCGCAGAGTTCTTCGTGAGGGAACCATCCCATCTTGGTTTGTGTTCCCAGGGAAAAGCGGTCAAGCTGAACGCAGAAGTCCCCTGAAGCGAGCTGGTGCCAGCTTGTCTTCACCCAAGGCCAAGCGAGTGAGACGGGTACTGCTTAGGAATACAGATATGTCCGGCCTGTCCGGGCCATCAGAGTCGCAACAGCAGCAGGCTGCCTCAGAAGAGGTCCCAGAGGAGGTCCAGCTGCTCACAGTTTCAGAGGAGCCTGTGCAGTTCACTGTTGTGGAGGAGCTCCCGCAGCCCACTGTCTCGGAGGAGGTCGAACAGTCCACTGCCTCCAAAGAGCCTCAGCAGCCCACTGTACAAGAGCTCCAGCCGACTCTGCTGGACCACAGCTACTCCTCTAGTGCGGCAGAGCGCCACATCCACAGTCCAATGAAGAAGATGGTGGCCAAGGTTCGCCAGCTAAACTATGAGAAAAAGAAGCTGCGTCAAAAACTGAAGAGACGCGATAGGCGGCTGAAGTGCCTGAAAAGCACGTTGGATGCACTCAAGGAGAGCCAGGTGATGGATGCTAACCTGTTGGACAGCATCCGTGCGCGCTTTGAAAATCCAATTGTGTCAGAGCTATTTGCCAACGAAGTAGTGAACGGTGGTCGCAAAAAGCGTGGTGGGCGAAGATATTCCGAGGAGATAAAAAAGCTCTGCCTCACGCTACATTACTACTCTCCCAGAGCGTACAAGTTCCTCGCTAAGAACTTCTCCCTTCCTGGTGTAACCTCGCTGCAAGAGTGGACAAGGAGCGTCGGATGCGAAGTCGGTGTCCTCGACGAGGTCTTACAGACCCTGGCCTCTCAAGTAGCCTCGAAGAAAATCGACCCAAACTGCTGCCTCATGGTAGATGAGATGGCTATCCGAAAGGCAAAAGTGTACTCCCAGCCCAAGGACAAGTTTGTTGGCCATGTCGACCTGGGAGCAGGTGATGTGGAAGACTCTAGACTGGCCACAAATGCCATGGTGTTCATGGCCGTTGGGTTGAAGGGGGTGTGGCGCCACCCAGTCGCGTACTTTTTAACTGATCACCTGACGGGAGAGACGCAGGCTGAGCTGACCAAGACCGTCCTACGTGCCCTGAACTCAGCAGGTCTGAAGGCTAGGACGCTTGTGGCAGATGGTCTCCAGGCCAACATGACGATGTTCGCTCACCTGGGCGTTCAGAATATGCAGCCGGGACAACTCCAGCTTCCCATCAGGAACAACTTCTTCCTGCACCCTGCTACAGGAGAAAAGGTACACATACTCCTTGATGTCGTCCACATGTTGAAGTTGTTGCGGAACCTGTTCGGTGAACAGAAAATGCTGCTTCTGGATGGCGAAGAGATATCCTGGAAGTATGTACAGGTGAGCATTAACGCTAATCAGCGGACTTGCTGTAATGGGTTTATTTGATTTTAACCACTACCCAGCTTTTTTGTATACTGTGCATAATGTTGTAGTGAATATTTTTTTGTATATTTTGTAGTTGTTGTACTTAAACAATAATCAGCAATAACACAACCAGTAACCACCCATCAGGATGCTGTCAACAGTGTCATTTACATTTTTTTGCTTTTATTGTGCTTAAGCATTAACCAGCAATGACCAGACCTTTCACTCAGCTTTGCATTAATATAGCAGTAGGCAGTAGCATTGAAGTAATCTGACTGCCAGGCCGGCTGCCGACGTTCTTCATCAAAATAATTTTGGTTTGTTTTTTCACAGGCGCTGTACGCTCTTCAACAGAGGGAGGGCATCCGAGCTGCAAATAAGCTATCTCGCC